AAATACCTCATGTCCGCTAGAGGTCCATCATTTGGCATACACTGCAACAGGATTGGATTAATGTTTCCCTTCACAAAAAAGCTCCTATAAGTAACCTTTTATTAACAGCAGGTGTTTTAAACAGTTGTCCAGATATGTTTTTCAGGTCCTTCCAAATGGTGGGACAGCTTTATTTAGTCAGGTTTATGAGCGTAAGAAATATTATCCTGCTGTCACATTCTGCCTAACATAGATGTTTCCCTCTCCTCACACAATTTCTCTCCTTTCATATGGCTTTTCGTCGGAAAATTTGATATGAAATATATATAGTTTGTTTTTGCTGTTATGGAGAAGCCAAACTACACTATTACACATCCAACTAATGTAGATCAAAAATAATACCTCTAAAGTGCTGTAAGATGCTGTTTTAAAGTGGTCCAGCTCCCTGCTTCACCCCTGACGCTGGGGCTCAGAAGTGATGAATGGGACCTGCTCCAGGTGCAGATCGATATTTTTCCAGCTTGTTATGGAGCGTATTGAGACTCTCTGCTTCATACGGTCTGCTTCAGGAGTGAGCGATGGGGTTCCCAGGTATCCTCCCGGCGGGGGGGGGAGACAAGGATGCATTACGAACTGGCAAAGTGGGAAACTGCCCGGGCCCCTCAGAATAAAATCATAGAAAACAAGATATAGGCCCCAAAGACTATGTTAAGAAATGGTAACATCAAACTTTTTTTTTTACATCTGATTGTTCAACGCCATATTTGCACATGATGCAGTACATCAGAGTATTATTAAAGGGGCCCTTTGTTTTGGGTGGTTTTCCCTGTCACTGTAGTGTGGTTATAATAGGTTTCTGTGATGTAAATGTCTGCAAAGGCTAAATCCCATCACTATGGATAAACTTATGCTCCTATTCGCTATCGCTCCATAAATATTGTAGGCCAAGGGGCGGGACATATCCTTAAGCGGTTGACCAATCACAACAGAGCAGTGCCAGCTAAAACATTTGAAAACTTAATTTTGGTCTCTTAATAATGTGATGAAATTGATAAAGTAAATGGAAAAATAGCCCTTGTTGCATTTAGGTCACATGTTTAAACTCAAGGCAGGGGGAGGGCCAAATCAGGCCTTTAGTGGATTTAATTTCAGAGCCTGAGCCAAACAATATTATGAACTTGCACCCAAGAGGAGATGGCCCAAGTATCCTGCTTGAACTAGCATCACAGAGCAGCACACTGAGTTTCAATGATGGTTTCCTTCTGCAACTGTTCTTTCTTGAAGCCAACAGGAAGCATGTGGGGTGAGTTTTCGTTGAAAGGGGAATAGTTTTGTTGAAGCTGTTGTTGGCCTGTGGGAAAATGTACTCATAAGAAATGACTCTGGAAAAGCTGCAGATAGAGCCATAAGAAATGAATGCAACTGATTATTTAATGTTTAATGTTGTTTTTACAGGCAATAATTTAAGCTTTGTTAGTTCCAGGTTTAATATGTGCGATAAGTTCATTTCAATACGTTATGCAATAAACATTGAACCAGTCCGGCCCTCGACTAGTACCCATTTTTTATTTTGGCCCACTGTGTATTTGAGTTTGACACCCCTGAAGTGATGTGGTTTATAATAATTTACACACCATCAAAACACACACTTATTACTATTATAAACATTCAAGAAATGATAGGGGCTTTAGGAGACACACTCATTGTTATGTTGTTGTTATTTTCAGTTTAGATTATATATTTTTCAAATAAAATTGCTAAATCAAATCACCAAAAACCCTAATTTAGTCCCAATAATTGAAATTCTCACATTTTCTCTAATTATGGTTATATTTAACTGCGCAAATTGTGATATTAAAATTGTATATGATGCTTACATATGTCACAACACATGTATATATATTGTATAATTAAATTGAGTTATAATGACTTTTGTACTTTGATAAAATGCATGAACTTCCGGGCCTCCACATAGTCTGGCCTGTGACGTCACACAGTTGCAGGAGCGCACTGACAGGAAGCGCACTCAGGTTTTTGCGCGATATGGAGCTGCATGTCCTTCCCAATTTCCCTGCTTACGCCAGAAAATAAATAAATAAATAAAGTAGAGTATCCTACAAAGAGAAATGCGCCTGTCTGCCAACTCCACGTGAAACAGTGCGGTGTCCCTTTAACAGCGTCTGACAAATAGCCCATATGATCCCCGAGCTCCAATCACCAATTCCTCCTGCAAAAGCAGCCTCTGCATTTTTGTCTGTCTGAATGCTACAGCAGCACGGGGGGAAACAGGATTGAGGATAAGAGCAAAAACTGAAGAAATGTGACAATTGCACGGTCCTTTTCATGGCGGAGGGGAAACTGCTGCGGAAGGAGTTATTCTGGGACTCCTTTGAGCCTCGAAACGCTGGATCAAAATGGTAGGCTTCACAGGAGAGCGCTGCATTTTTGTTTATTTTTCTGTGTCCCGCTTTGATCTCTTGCACATTTCAGCTACTTAGCAGGCCGATGAAAACTTGCCACACTTTGTGCCTCCTTGTGTGTTTGCAGCAGGCACACCGTGTATCTCTGTGTAAAGTTTGTAACTTGCAGACATGGCACAAGTTGGAAATTGAAGCTGCTTGGAAGAATGCAATAGCTACAATAGCCACATTGATGCAGAGAAGGAGTTAAATTCTTTCATATCACGGCGCTCCTGCACACAAAAAAAGGGCTCAGGTCGTGACTGGTGCAAATGTAGACGGGATGAGAGAAAGTCCTTTAGAGCAGGACAAGTTTGACATGCATGCATACATTAGAGATCCCTCTAATCATATGGAGGAGGAGATCTCACTCTTCATGTCGTAATAACTTCATTTGTTACAGGTGACCCTCAGGTAGAGGTGCTATCAGCTTGTTTGAAGTGTCCTAGTACAATGAAATTCAGATTCCAGTCTGACAGTCAAAGCAGAACTGTTTTACTGGATCAGGAATGCTCTATTTGTCCCACATCAGGGAAAAGTACAGTATTACAACATGGAGAGTGGACATATTATACAAACAAAGTATGCACACTTTATTCATAAAAAAACAACAACACAATAAGTAAAAACCGATAAGTACACCATGGTAAAATAGTGGCAAAATATATTTAAAAAAGTGACCATGTAAACATATTGAAGTGGGTGGTAACGTTTACAGATTTAAAGAAAAATACAGTGTATTGCACAAAGTTTGATATTCACAAGCAGTTTTATGCACAAAAGGGATATGTTGGTATCCTCTGGTACAGAGCATTTCCCCCATGTTTTGATTCCCCTTACATGATAGGAAGATAGCCGAGCACAGACAGACTTATGGGAATGGAGAGGCAGACAGTGCGCTCTGTCTCCAGGGTCATATTAGGATGCCTCATTAGGAAAGCATGTGGAGCCTGATGCAGTGGTGGAGTAATCCCAGTGCGCGTTCACATCTGGAGGCTTGGGTTAATATCTGGGTCAGGGTCAGCGGGGTCAGATCTGGTGCTAGCTGGGTGGCTTCTGGTGCTGCAAAGAGAGAAGGAGAGAGGTTTTTTAGTCTATCGGAGAGTAATCTGCGAAGTGTAATGCGCCGGTGATCTGAGATACTGTATCTTTTGAGTGTTTGTGCCCCCGTTAATTTCTGTTTGTTGACATGAAAAGCTGATTAGTGTGTGCTAATTTTGTTTTTATCATTAGCCTCACATAACCTCTCTTATTTGTGGATGGATTACTGAACAGGCAAAGGGGTTTAGGGGCCCCAAGCCTGGACCAGAGCCCTCGGTATAAAGAGACATTTACATAGGCAAGTGAATAAAAAACACTAACGTCGAGGTAGAGACACAACACAAGTTAAAATAGACGCAAATGTCAAAGAGATGACAAGGGATCACAAAAACATGACAAAAAGTGCATGACTAGTTTGAAAATGACAAAAAGAGACATGGAATAGTTGTAGTAGTTTCTTGATCTCTTTTAATCTGTGTGCTGGATTGCCTTTAACATGCTACAAGATCCATTGAATCATAATCCGCCTACCCTTTATTCGAATGTTTGTGTTTCTCCAAATACGATGGATTTGCACAAATATAAACCCGTTTCTCTGCCAACTTTTAAGTGTTCGAAGCGCTTTTTTTTCTGTGGGCCACCTGACTGAATTTAATCTCAGCGTTGTCAGGTCCTGAGTAGCTCCTTCTCTCTCCTCGCAGGGTGCTGTGAGTTTTACGTAACTGCCTATTCAGAGCATTCCTGCCCACCCTTGACTTCGAGGCGTCACTGTCTCTGGGTGCTGAGCGAGGAAACGGTCTTTAGTCCTTGTGACAAGTGCAGCCATTCCCGAGCCCTGGCAACAAACTCCAGCTCTCCGTGGAAACTCGGAGCATACTGTAGGTGCTGCTTATTTATGCCCCTGATATTAAAACAGTGGACAAGGCTGCATAGAGCAAGGTCAAACTCACATGGCTTATGTAAGGTGGCTTTTGTTCTTGTTTGTTGATTTGGCACAAGTTTGTCCGACGGGGTGGATTTTACTCTTGGTATACATTCACATTTTTATTGTTTTTCTCAGCAGTGGCAGCCTGGGAAAAGCAGTTACTTTAATCTATCCCGTATGGCACTTCACTTCGGAGAGTCAAACAGGCTTTCTTTTCCTATGTACACCTTAAATGAGGATTTCTATTAGCTTTCCATTGACAGACATTTATAAACGTGTTCTTAAAGCTATTAGCTGAATCCAGAAAGAGAGACTATGGAAGACGGGAGTGAGTTGCCATGCTGTTGTTGTAGAAAGAAAATACAAAGAACAACTTAGAAACACGAAAACAAATAACATATTAATTGAAATACTATTTAATCTGTAGTGTTTTAAAAATACTTATTTGGTTTCTTTGCAGACAGTTTGATAAGAACATTGATCTCTTTGTAGACTTAATATGAAGCTACAGCTGGTGGTTGGTTAGCTTAGCGTGAGGCCTGCAGGGGTTTTCAAAGTGTGGGAAAGTGAGCCTCACCTCAGAGAATATCAGCCGCGCCCCCCCTCCCAATTATTATTGCTATTATTATTATTATTATTATTGACCCCCACAAAGAAAAAAAAATATTTACACACACACGTAAGGTCATCATCTTAACAGTTTGTTATGCTCATCGAGTCATCCGTGAGCAGAGCATCAAGTTGGCATGCCTATTACAGCTGAATGCCGCGATTACCATCTTGTTCAGCAAAACGCCTCACAAACTTATTAAGATCTAAGGCTTTAGTGTGTTTTGATTCAATGCTGAGTACAGCCAAACTTGACAGTCTCTTCTCTGTCATTGTAGACCGCAAATACCTCCTTCCTTCCGTGTACTTGGGTCCGAATGCGCCGTCCCGTTCAAATGAAATCGCCGCCAATCACATTTCCTCGCTCGCGCCAGGGCCGGGGAAGGGATTACAAGGCTCGCGTTTTATGCTGCATTCAATTGCACTCGGACATTAGGGATTTTCTCTCATAAATATCCGATGAGCCACTTAGCTTAGTTTAGCATGAAGCCAGGGCTTAGCTTAGT